AGCCCAGCTGAAGTCTAAGAGCCTGAATTAACTAAGATGGCATTCCACTCCTGAGGTGGTGGCATTTGGTTTTAAGTTTGTCCTTCAGTGTTGATATGAGTAAACAATAAAATCCAAACCGACTAGGTCAAAGTGGATAAAGTTGTGTACTTCAGCCTCTCCCTGTTGCACTGAGTTCTTGCAAAGGAAATCATTTAGAGGTGTGATCCACCCTCTGATATGCAACAGCCCAGTTAACACCCCAGAAGTCTAACATCTCACTGGGTGGTTTAAACCACAAAGTAGCCAAACACATTTTAGCCTGGTGTGTTGTAGAAATTGAAGCTATGTGCTTAGTGCATGCCTCAAGTGGTCATGTGAACCCAGACATTTGATTAATTGAATATGCTGTGATTTGGTCAACAATGAGTAAATATTTTGTGTGAATACTCTTACAGGTAGTCCTTGACCTATGACCATTCATTTAATGACCATTCGAAGTTACAATGGTGTTGAAAAAAGTGACTTACAGCCGTTCCTCTCACTTATGACCATCACAGTGTCCCTGTGGTCATGTGACCAAAATTTGGGTGCTTGGCAACTGGCATGTATTTATGACAGTTGCACAAGCAAAGTCAATGGAGGAAGCTGGACTCGCTTAACAACTGTGGCGATTTGCTTAATAACCATGGGAAAAAAGTTTGTACAATTGGGCGTGATTCATTTAATGGCTGCATTGCTTAGCGATAGAAGTTCCGGTCCCAATTGTGGTTGTAAGTCGAGGACCACCTGTACTCCCTTGCAAATGAGTTATTCACAGTGGTTAGAGAAGTGGGAAAAAAATCATTCAAACCCTCACTTAGCTGTAACCTCTGCATTATGTTGGATTGATGCAGAGCTTATGCACTCCATGAAGTCACAATTTGTTTTAGTCATGATATGTTGACAAGGCCATCATGACCTGCAGATTCCTTTTTTGTATCCCTAGCTACACTTTGGTGAGAAAGATATGTGATTGCTGCAAACAGGTAGATCTTCTACTATTTTGAAGCAGGAAACAGAAGAAAATGATAGGATAAGCCCTAAAATATACTTAACAATGACTGCATTTGTGTAACATGCTCAACCTTATTATTGAGTTAATCCATTTCCTGGCTTTGCACAACATACTGAATCATACAGGTTAAGCAAATCTTACACTCAAACAAATTGCTGCCCCCTAACTAATCATGATAAAACTACCTAACCTAGCACATTGTACAAATGTAGGACTTGATTAAGCATTTAACTGACTCAATCAAGCGTGTTGTGTCAACAAAGCCAATGTTAACAAACACGCAACAATCGTTTTGCCCAGGTGGCATCACTCTCTGACCCACTTCAGCCTTTGTTCCTTCTATTAATGTAGATGTAACCCCTGATCACTGCAAGGTTGCCTGCCTTTGCCACAAGCCAGTGGCAGGTTATGGCTTTGCCTAATCCAGCATCAGCTTCTTCGTTTAACATACCTCATTGCCTTGCACGTGGATAAAACAATAGTGGGTAGCGGTGAGAAACATGTATATATATTTTTTCAAGCTTTCCACCATTTGCAATCGCAATGCAAGGCAGAATTCCACAGCTATCTTTTTAGGGTTTCTGCCATGGTGGCTTGAGTTCATGAATGAAGATAGGCCCTATACCCACTGGCAGCTTGTCCTGGCACCATCGTGCCTTACCACCCTAGTCTTCCTCCTCTTGCATGGCGTTGCCTTCATCTCTTCCCCACCCTTGAGTGAAACTGCCTGAAGCCATCCCTAAGTGGACTTGAACAAAAACATTTTCCCTCCCTTCCTTAAGCTCAAATATGCCATCAGTGCTTCAAGACATGCAATACCTGTCGAGGTTTGCCACCCATTACCTGGGAGGTAAGATGAGGAAACCTGTTGTGGGTATGACCAGAGAAGAGTTTGGGGAGTATTGCATGCATTCCCTCCCCTCTAGTCATTAGCCAACCTCTGCTGTAGCTGTTGGTTTTCTCCATTAGCACTTCGGTTCCTCAAGGTCTTTCATACCTGTCACCTCCTCCCTGTTTTAGACAGCAGGAACCCAGCAAGACAGAAAAGATCTCCCCTGTTTTATTTGGAGAATTTTTGGAAATGGTGTTGGGATTAGGACTCCTGGATCTGGGTTGCAGACATCCAAAGGACCAGTAAGGGTGAAAAAAGAGTTTTACTGGTGGCTCGGATTTTGCAGTCCAGATACGATAACCCCATTTTTGATGCAGGACCTCTGCCTTTCTGCCCTGCAGTGTCCTGAAGGTAATCAGGGATCTCCAACTGAGCTTTTGTTGTTGATTTGCCAGTTGCATTAGATTTGTTAGCCTCAATCACTTCCCTCCACCTGAATTAAGAAATCCAGCTGTTTTGCAGCTAGGGGGTTTCGGTCATCCTGCTTTCCAAGAACTAGCTGCTTGTAGAATCGTGTTCCTCTCTGGCTTGCTATAGCCTGGTGCCTTCTCATGTTTCTTGATTGGACATGATTTTGAGAGTTGACCAAATGAACTGTAAAAAGGTGGGGCAAACAAACTGGCCTGGAGAAGGGCAGACAGAGTCCTCAAGTTAGACCAATGTTTCTCAACCTTGACAACTTTAAGATGAGTGGACTCCAACTCCCAGAATTCCCCAGCCAGCAGAATACTGGGAGTTGAAATCCACTCATCTTTAAGTTGCTAAGGTTGAGAAACACTGAGTTAAACACTCCCCATTCCTGATGCTAGGGGTGTCCACAGGATCCAGATGGTGCAGTTGATGGTCCTCCTGTTTCTATGTGCTCTGTTGCCATCTTAACATTTACTATGCCCTGCGGACACCCCTGCCTGCTGCAGTGCCCCACTGATAGATGTTTCTCCCCTTGGATGGTGTCATACTAAAAGGAGAAAAGCAACAAAGCTAGAGGAGAAAACCTTGCTACAAGATTAGCAACTCATGAATCGGGGGAACCCCATCTGGCCATGACTTGGTGCAGACCCAGGAAACGCAGGACAGAGGTTGGTAATGGGGACAGCCGCTCTGATGGTGGCACTGATTTGTGCCAATGTGGGGGTTTGCTTATTTATTTAGAACATTGATATGGCTGCCCCCCATGGTTCTGGGCAGTGTAAAAAATAATTAAAAATACAAAAGAGAAAAATAGCACATACCACGGAAGCAAACTAAAATAATTTAATGGCGATCAGGTTGAAAATATATCTACCTGACTGGGAATTCTACTCAAGCTGACCCAAGGACTCGGGGAAAGAACCAGGTCTCTGCTGCCTTTCCAAAAGTCTTCCGAATCAGGGCTGATTGCATCTGGGGGACAGGGAGTTTGTCCCATACAGCAGGGACCGCCACCAAGATGTTACCCCTCCTAGACCCCATAGGGCTGGTCTGATAGTGCTTTAACTCGATAGTAGGGAACAGTTGATGGGATGGGTTCACTAAACCCTACATCTGAATAACAAACCATAGTTGTCATGTTCATGCCCTCCTCCCCAACACAGGTGCCTAGTGCAACACGACAAAATGTGTTCCGCTGACTTTGGTATTTTCTGAACCAAGATTCACCCATTTTAGCTAAGCCCATTGCATGAACCCTGGCATTTATTAAAATAATCTTTGCCCCCTGTTTCTGAGCTTGTTTGTGAAACGAGGCCCTGAGTTCAGATTTTTCCCTTCTTCCCCAAAAGTGAACGCCAAGTTCCTTCGAATATCAAAACCTTTCCCTGCTACCGCCGGCTGCCACGGATCGGCTTCAGTCTCCCCTGGTTTACTTTATGAGGTCATTACATTTCCAGCAGTCCCACTCATCAGTTTATCAGGCAGGCTCCAGATTTCTTCGTGGTTCGGTGGCAGCCGGTGGATAGCCAAAGGAAAGCCCCCGTTTGCAGGGTGGGCGCGCGAGCAAAGGCAGAATTCTTTAAGAAGAAGAAGAAAGCGAAGTCTTTCCAAACGACGCGCAGCGAGCTGGTCGGGAGAGCCGAGCATCCAAACAGGGTTCTGCCTTCCTCCGCATACCATCAAGCCGTCAGTACAGGTGGACAGCAGGGCCGGGTGCCAAATTCTTTTGGTTTAAAGGAAGGAGTGGGAGGGAATCTTCTGAATCTCCCTCCTGGAAGGGTTTCACTTTCCTCTAGCAAATGAGAAGGACAAGCTACTACATTCGGTTCCAAACGCTCGGGGAGAATGGCTTTTTCGCAGCGGGCTTGTTAAAACCGAGCAGCACAGTTTATGGTCGCCAGCGCCAGAGGAAAGGAAAAGAAGAATTAGTGAGGTAGGAGCTCGTCGTCCTGGCTCTGCTGTTTTCCAGAAAGGGAGGCGGGGGGTTATTATTTCAGAGCTTCCCAGTTTATTCAATCAGGCGGAAGAATCCTGCCTTCTCCAGGCAGAGCTAATATGGTTAATTAAGGAAAAATAATGTTTCCAGCCTGCACGGTTTTAGTTTGTCGTTTTCTTTTATAGTTTATTACCTTCAGTGTGTTTTATTAATTGCTGTGTAAAGGAGAAGCTTTCCTCTCCTTTTTTAGAAAGCAAACGATTTGCTCCCTGAGTCTTCCTGGAACGTTGGCATTTGGAATGAAAAATCTCCTCTCCACTCTCACTTGTTGCACAGGTTTTGCCCAGCTGGATGGGGGATTTTATTTTTCTTTGGCTGGGGAAGCATGGCACTGAAATGTCATGTGTTGCTATCAGCTGATGTTTGGGGCAGATTTGATGGTGGTGTGTGCCAGCTGCGCTTAACAAGATGTAGGTTTTCTGGGTTTCTTCGGCTGGATTTTTTCCCTGAGATTGGGGAATGGATAGATCTGCGGAAGACTTTGCCTTCATTGCAGATTTATGAATCAACAATCATGGCGAGGAAAGAAAGGGAAAAGTTTTCCTTCAAATGCAATGCTCCTGCCCGTTCCAGCTTTAGTTTCCCTGCTGCTGAAAGCGAGGGGTTCCCTGGTTCTTAAGATGTGGGTCATAATTTGCAGAAACTAGCTTATCACAGGGTTGCTAGTTAGAACTAGGATAACTAGGATTTTGTGGCTTCCTTTGTGTATCAGGTCCTAAAGAAACAGCTGAGAGAGACTTGACTTTCTCTTTTCATAGGGAATCCTCTACCTGTTCATGCAGGGTCCCCATGGAATTCAGTGGCCATGGCTTCCAGGTTGATGGCTGGGGCACCTTCAGTCTGTTGTTTTGAAAATGTGCAGCCAACATTCAGTAGAGCATTTCTGGCAAGAAGGATATCGCTGTCTAATGTTGTATGACGACTCTAGCTATCACCATGATCACTGGAAGTCCTTAGAACTGTATTTTAAATGCATCTGGAGGGCCCCATATTTTGTGGAGGCTGAATTAAATCTTTCCCCCCATTGCTGAGATTTGATTATGAGGTTAAGTGAATCATTCTCACTCCCTTTTCTACAGTTTCAAGAAAGGTTTGCCAGGCAAATGGCCACTCAAGAGATAGCCTGATTTGTTTAATTTTCTTGCTTTTGTAAAGAACATGTCCAAAATAATAGTCTGTTGAGAACTGTGTTTTAATGGAACACAGATTAGTTAAATCAGATATATTCTGGGCTATGGAATTTTTTTCCCAATCATGTCAAATTTAGAAAGCTGAAATGATTGTTGTTACTCTTATTTTGTTGGTAGACACTTGGGAATCCCAAGGAGCGTCTGTCTTATGATGATCTGCTAGCTAGCATGTTAATTTCTCCCTTATTTGTCATATTTATTTTTCATGCCACCCACTTCTTTTGTTCAAGGACCTCAGACTGAGGTCCATAAGATTTTTTTTTAGGCCATATGAAACTCAGCTGAAAACACTGCAAGTTATTTTAAAACTTTGCTTAAAATTTCAGTCATGTTTTGAGTATGAAAGAGCCTCTAAATTTCTCTTTAAAGAAAATGCAAAAATTATTTAGCAGTCTGTAGAAAATAGGACTATTGAGGATATTTGCTATTTTTATCAGATCTCCCTATAGTTTTCCTTAAAACTCCCTACAATCTTTCATATGAAGAATATCCCAGTTTTTTTTCTTGAATGTTGTGTTTTGCAAAACTTCAGTAGCAATTCTAGGTTATCTCCTCTTTCATGACAGACTAGTTCCCATCGTGGAAAGACAGAAGTCCATAAAATAGTTACTAATTATTTTTAAGGGCTATCATTATTCTCCCCCCTTTTTTTTTTGAGTTATGGAAGCAAGGAAAATAACTTATCCCCAAAAGCTTTTCATCTGGGTGAAAGTGTGTTCAATTTAAATGTGTAAAAAAGGGGGAAACAACTGTATAAAGCATAAACAGTGATATGTATTTCGTTATTGATGGATTAGTGGTATAAAGTCAAAGTCTATGAATATTCTCTGGCAAAGCCTTATGGTCCAAAATGTAGATCACCATATACCTTCAAAACCTATTTTCCATATTTGGATGTTTAAAAAAGTTGCTAAGAGTATATCATTGACCTTTAAAACATTTGTAAATATTTTGAAATTTTATGTATGTTAGCAGAGTCAGTTAAAATATTTAAACATGAAAGCTGGTCATTCAATAGCTGAATAGCACATGTATGTGTGGGTGCATGTATATATGTACACACACTTTTCCTTCTATTAGGAGTTGCTGGGAACTAGAACAAATTGATAATTGGTGTGACATCATGGCTAGAAGAGATTTACTATGAATTTTGGGCTTGAAATCTCCTACTCTGAAATTAGTCAGGTAATTTGGAGGGCCCAGTGAAGGCACTTGGAATCTGGGAGAGCATGTTGTGGGACCTCACACAACGTGACCGCCAACACCAGAAGGCAAACTGGTGAGGGTGCTTCCCACCGACCTTCCTGTAATTAACTTCCAGCTTATCATAGTGGTTTTCTGGGCAGGTGTCCCCCTCCCCTTAAATAAAGTACATGGCTGCAGCCATCCACCATTTTGATTTTGCAGGAATGCCTCTTGGTGGCCAATGTGGGGCCCAAAGGAATTACTACTGGTTATATGCTTTATTTTGCAGCATACCAGCTTCCTATTTATTCTTGTTTAATTAATAGCTCCTTTTAAAGAAACTAAACTTGAGGGGGGGGGGAACTGCCTAGCACCAATGAAGATGTCTTCAGGCACATTAATGTCTGTGGACCCCATTTTGCCTTGCTCTGCAATATGGGATCAAACCAAGGCAGTTTTCTTAGCTAATTCGCATGTTCTCCAGTACAATATAGGAATAATAATGCCAGTTTATCTTACTGTATTGCCATAAGAAGTCAGTAAGATAATCTGGAACAGCCCTTAAATATTCAGAAGTGCTACAGAAGGCTTAATCTTAAATTGCTCCATTTGTACAAGCAGTGGACTAGATTTCTGAACATTGCCTTTATTCCGTTTCTTGCTCTGTTAAGGTCTTAGTTAAGTCTCACTGAATGAAACTCTTACTTAATAAAAATCTGTAGGGCTTCCCCCACTGCACCAAGTTATAAGTTTTGTTGGCCTTGCTGCAGTCGATGAAGATGGCTGAAACCCACTGAGAAGTTGCTTATGGCATTAACCCCCTGGAGCTGGTTCAGATCTTTCCATTCTGGCTTCTTCCAGTATCTCATCCCTTCGCCTCGTGTTCATGCCCGAGTAAAAATCAGCATTTTCTTTCTTCACAGAAATCCAGAACCTCATTTCAGCTATGAATTTACCACCAAATTGTCTCCCACGTTAAAGCTGATGATCTTACACTGGGCTGGAGGTAGAATTTATTCCAGGAAATGCAAAACCTTCCAAGAAAGTTTGTCCTTCTCAAGGATGGAAATTCTACAGTTGAGCGGTTAGGCTTTTGAGTACTTTGGTTCCAGCAGCACATCTTGTTGAACAAGTAGGATCCTTGAGGAGTTGGCAAAAATACTGCATTGTGTGCTCCAGTTCAGCCTTCCATCAGCCAGGCGTACCCTCATCTTCTGTTTTGGCTAATCCCCTAGCTCTGCGCTTGAATTTGTTACACAATCTGTTCCATAGACACATTTCAAAATGCTTCCATTTGAAATTTGCTTCCCCCCACCTTTTTTTAATTTCTTTCTTGAATTTCATACTTATCTAAATTCACACAGTGAAACAGTTATGCAAAGTTGCTTGATTTGAATAGTTTATGGGGGATTCTAGTGTTTTGCAATAATGCTTTCTTGCAACAAAGTGTATTATTTGGTTGCAAAAATGTTTTATTATTGCTGATATAATAAAAACATGCAATCTCCTCATTTATTTTTGTTATGGTTTAGACAAGGACCACTCTCAATTACTGCTTGAAGCTTAGCAGATACTTTGAAGAACATTCTTTGCAGTAAAATGGTGCAGTGGAAGAATGATTAACCACAGCTCGATGTCTACCAGTCTTAATCACACATTCAAACTATGCTTCCTTCTGGGATTAATTAATCCAGATTTATCTAGCTTTGTTTCTTGTAGTTGCTTTTACACTATTTCACCTAGAATTCCTATTCTTAATTTTTTGTAGAAGAGCCAGAGAATATTGTGCTTCCGCAGAGTCCTTTTTGGCTGTTTCCCCAACGTTTTTAGACTTCAGAATTCAGCTGCAACCCCAGCATGTCCTATGTAAACTAGTATACTATAGTGGGTTTAAAGAGACGCTGCATCTTTAATTAGAAGCTTCCTCCTAGGATTGTACTAGTTCCTGTTGTAGTTTCTTCCTGGTTATGGGGTCTAGTCTGGTCTGTGACAATTGTCACTAAGTTAGTCTTCCACTTTAATTACTGTTTATCTAACATTAACTGTCTTTCTTTACTTTTTAATTGTGAGGTGGCAATAAAAAGAACATGACTAAAAGGAAGACAGTAGTTAATGTCCTTTCCCCGCCTGCAAAGGACTGAAGTGATTAATTGAGCTATTCTGGAGCAAGTTTTCAGTAATGCTGGAGCCATGCTGAATACAAAGCAGTTAGCAGGAGACATTAGAAAAGGAAAAGAAATAATTAAAATTGCAGGAGAGCATTGTTGAGTGGCACCTACTTTTTACTGTGTCCAAAAGATTTTGGAAATGAGTATTGATGGTACGGGAGATAATATATATCTTAAGTACTGTTTGGAACACCATCTTAATTTCACTTGTGGAAAAGTAATGCCTTAACAACATTACGCTGGAAGCTAATCTTTATTTGTGAATGAGCCCTAAATAATCGTGGTAATGTTTTTTTCGCTTTAGAATCCTATTTATTATTAATTTATTATTAAAAATTCTAAGTTCCTTTCAGTTTGCACATCAAATCCAGTCTTTTAGAATTTTAATCTGTAC